AACATATCTAACTTGTGACCACTGACACTAGGACTAATACTTATAACACACTGTACAACATATCTCACTTGTGACCACTGACACTAGGACTAATACGTTTACCAAACTGTACAACATATCTAACTTGTGACAACTGACCCCAGGACTAAAACTTAAAACACACTAGTACTGTACAACATATCTAACTTGTGACCACTGACACTAGGACTAATACTTATAACACACTAGTACTGTACAACAAATCTAACTTGTGACAACTGCCACTATAACATGTGACAGCTGTCACTATGAACTGTCACTGGGAATAATATTTAAGAACACTTACACTGTACAATAACGTTAGCGGTTTGAGAACTGACAGACGTTCTTCCCTCGATGTTCACGGCCTCACACTTCAGTCCACTGTCCACATCATTGACCCTCCCTGTGATGGTCAGACTCTGTTGTCTCGTGTACTTATCGTCGCCCATGTCCTGGTCAGTGGCCGTAGCGGCCTGATCTGTGATGTTGTTATCTCCCCTGAACCATGATAACCTGGCTACAGGCCGACTAGCGGTTGTGGTACATGTAAAAGTTCGGGTATTTCCGGCTGATATCGTCACACTTGGTCGGTACACTCCGTCTGTTGTTATAGTTACCATAGATACTGGCACTATTCAAGAAAAACAGAATACAACATATAAAACGCTGTCTATGGTGGCATATTTCTGCCATCGACTTTCGACTTGCGAGTTACCTATGTCGACATAATCTATGAATATGTCGCAATAACGTTTAAATTATGTCGACCTATATTTGCATTTTCCGAGATAATTTTGCACAGATAATTATCACGTAAGTAGATAACTCGGGTTTTTATCGTGTTAACGCTCAGATGTGACATTGACTTGCAACTTATTTCTGCAAAGCAAAACAGGCAGTTAGCACGTGACTTATATTGCTGAATAAGCTAGTGGTACATCACGTGATAATCTTTTTGAAAATGATTGGTTAATTACTCGATTTGTTTTGCATAAACAAGTGACAGGTCGATGTCACATCTCAGCATTAACACGTTAAAAATCCAAGTTACCTACTTATATGATAATTTTCTCGGCAAAAATATCTCGGAAAATGAATAAATATGTCGACATAATTTAAACGTTATTGCGACATATCTATAGATTATGTCGACACATTTTAAAAATTATGTTGACATAAGTAACTCGTTAGTCGAAAGTCGATGGCAGAAATATGTCACTATAGCTGTCAGCTACTCTGACAGTCAATTACAGTTACAACGATACAGTCTAACACATACACACACAAAAAGTGTAGTTGTTTTTAAATTAATTTTTCTCTACATCGGCGTTTAGAGAGGTGTAAAGTTTGTGATACTGCTACGTTTCATCTCCCGCCAAATCAATATAATAAATTACTGATGAAATAACCTGAACTTATCCCGGAACGAAATAAGTGTAATTCCTTGAAAAGCCGGGATTCGTGATCGTAACACGAGATGAAATGTAAGAGTACCATATGCTGATTGTTTTCTTAGCTCATTCAGGTACTTCACATGTAAGTTAGGCCTTAGTTTCAACCCAAATCCCCCATCCCGTCATCTTCATTCCCATCCATTCCCAGTAATTGTTATCTGACAAAATTCCCAGTGTAGATAGCACGGTCCTTTACGGTATTCTGGTGTATATATGATAAGAACCAGGCGCGGATTTAGGGGGGGGGGGGGCACACCCGGCCCCGGCCCCTCCTTTTGGCGGTGAACTGGCCTTTTCCGGGCCGGCCCGAAATGGTCTGATCGGGCGGGAATGGGAACATATTAACATTTTAAAATGCATCAAATAATGCACGGAGCTTGTATAAAAAAATCTGGGGCTACGCCCCACACATTCCATACGGCGTCCTAGCAAATATTGTGGGTTTCCGTTATCTGATATTTTTACTACATTTTCTTTATTAAAACAATATTTGTTGGCATCGCTACGCTCGTCTACCTTGTATATTGACTCTAAAGTGTTTTATTTTTATTTTACCACCTCCGCAAAACCCCAAGTTGCAACTTGCAACGCTCGGCGGAAATATACTAGCATAAGTTGCATAATTATATTATTGACCGTTCGTTATAGATGATCTGAAAATTAATGCTTTTTATTGTAACCTTCCTAACCGCCCGGGCGATATTAATCATTATACAAGAACGATAAAGGTTTTTTTCGGCTGACAATATTATGTATAATCGACTAAACATATCCATTCAATTATTTTGGTATTATATATATTGTTGGAACTGTTTAACTATCTTGTATGTACAACATAATATCTCATTGTGGAACTTATAGCTTACCATCGGGTACGTACAAGAAAGTATCTTCACACAGCATACTATTGTGTACGTAGTAATAAGTTGTACGTAACAGAATGAGATGCTGGACTTACAAGTATGATAATTCTAAATTAAATTTAAAGTTGACGCGTATGTGCCTCCTAAGTTGTACCATTTTAACCAGATAGCTTAGAAAATGTACCACTGTTGGTAATATGCACGCCCTTACATGAGTTAATCAGCGTGGACATTTCAGATATATCATTGTCTACACTAGTGAATTAGTCAACAATTATAAAACGCGAGACTATATAGCTAGTGACCTTGGGTGTCGCACTGATTTGAACTTATCCGTTTGTTTAGCAACTTAGTGATGCCATGAGTAAATCATTAATTAAACAGCAACGATGTTATGGTGTTGTTTGTTCTTTTGTACGACAAACTATTACATGAAGTACTGTACTGTAGGTACAATGTCTGAAGACTAGATATTGTGCGTCCCTACATTTATTTTTTGACTTAGGACCTCTCGTATCCCCCTTGCGGGCGGGACGCCTAATTAGGTAATAATGAACAACCCCCTGTGGATTCATACATTTGTCATCACCAGGTTGCCCCTATAATAATTCCATCTAACTTCTAAAACACGCTGTTAATAGAGAATTTGAACCGAAACTTTAATTTTCTTTCCAGTACACAAAAAACGTCTGTGGGCCATACTTAAAATATGTTTTTTCTTCTTGTTAATTAAACATAAAAACAGTCCTCAGAACACGGGAAATCGCTTCTGAGACGTTCTAGANCCCCCCCCCTTTCAAAACAAAAAACAAACAAAACTATCGTAATATAAAATATACATGCTCCAAGTCAGGAACCGTTACATTAGTGCATTTCACAATTAGGCCTATTTTATGTTTTTTAGCAAAAAAAAAGGTCCAATTTGTTTTGGCCTCGCTCCGCTCGGCAAAATGTTTGATTCTACGTCCCCCTTTCAAATATCCTAGACACGCCCCCTGAAACCCCCCTTAAAGGCTCGGGGTGATGCCTTCAGCAGCACACCGTTGACTATTGAGAAATTTTTCTCGGCCCCCCCTTTTGGGAAATCCTGGATCCGCCCCTGAGAACCGTGGTTTTTACCGATACGCTGGTCTGATGAGAGAAGAAAAATCCAGTAGGAAGACTTCGTGCTTATTTTTAAATAAAGTTATTATTTTTAAATTTTGAATTATTTAAAAAAAAAAAATGAAATATGTATTTTATCGGTTCAGCTTTCTTCGTTTAAAGTCCAGTGCCATGAAATCATGTTTAATCATTGTTTTTGTCCTGTTGGTCAATCTGATCAAATCATCAGATTGCACTCGTTCTTACGTTTTTTTACCTCGTTCGTACGATTTTTTATAATCTCGTTTGTAAGACTATTTATTTCGTTCGTACGTCTTTTAATCGCTTTCGAACCACATTTTAGCTCATGCATACGACATTTTGACTCGTTTTTATGAATTTTATCTCATATACACGACTTTCATTTCGTGCATTACACATTTGATATCCTTCGTAAGACTATCTATCTCATAAGAACTTTTATCACGTATACATATCTAAAAATGACACGACTACGTGCTCGTTTGAACATACCGGACGTATACGACGAAAAACAATAAATTTCGCCGTAAACTTGATTACTAGTCCATACGTCACCCGGCCGATGAGTTTGTACAGATAAACTTTGAATTAATCGTCTTATAGCAGGGAAACGCTGATGCACTCAAGTTGACCTATTATGTTTTAAATATCTTATAAGCATTGCATTTTAAAACGAAATATCCACCCTATTTAAATAGATTAGACTTTATATTATTTATGTGTGTGACTGGATTCAATAGCCTACCTTGATTGTGGAAATGTAACACTACTTTAAATATCATGTTGAGAAAAAAAAAGAAAAAAAGAATGAAGCGCGTTTTATATAAACGTTGATGGTTTTGCTTAAAACTTCAATATATATATATATATAATACGCTTTTTTATTAATTAACGAAGATCTCGTGATGCTAAACTTTGGCTTGTTTATCAGTGTATTGAATCTTCTGAATTCATAGTTGTACTGTAGTTGTAGAAAGTACAACTGCAGAAATTAAATAGCTGTAACACAAAATCTGAGACCGTGATGAGTCCAATTCATTGTAGCTCTTCTTCCAAATCAACGGAAATAACAAGCGATAAGTATAACAACCTATAACTGTTCTAAACAAAATATTTCGAATTGCAAATCTCGACCTGTGGATACTAAGACTACATTTAAATTAAATCAAGACGGTACACCTATATCGCGGGTATGGAATAATTAAAAAATAAAACATACACTGTACTGGTTTGTTAATTTTGAATTTTAATAAAGATAGGAGCTTAATAAAAGTTTGAAAAGATGATAGCCAGCCAACACGGGTTGGAAAATCTGTTTCTATCTAACAGAGAAAACAGAAGTTAAGTAAGAATCGAATCTTTGATCGAAAAGAGAACGAATAATAATACAATATCAGTTCTACGGCGTATTAAACGTTATAGTATTTTACATTTTTAGATTCATGTTATAGCAATTTATGTTACTATATGTTGTAAAATTGTTGTTATATATTAAAAAAACATGTATGTTTAATATACATCCATGCATTTTCCAAAGCTTCGTATGTATTTTCCAATTATTATTATATGTTTGTTTAGTCCGATAAACTTGTCAACGCTCTATATAATCCTTACAAAGTAAATAAACAATACTAACCACTGAGAGTAAGTTGTACAGTATAACTAACTGCACCGAGGAATATTTCACATCTCCAGTCTGTCCCGTGCTCGTCCTCTGTGACGTAGTCTGCTGGAATGGTGAGTGACGTCTGTCGTACAGGTAAGGAACCACAGGTGGTGGTGTAGTTCTGTCCTCCTCCTCCTTTTACTGAGGTACATGAAGTACTGGTAACAGTAAAATCTACTACTAGTAATCTGTTCCTCCTGTAAAACACTGTTGTGCCGGGAGTGATGTCCTGACTGGCTGTACACGTAAACGTCACTTCCTGTCCAACCACGGGAGACAGCGGCGTCACTGACAACGACAAAGTCTGGGCTGCAATGATAACGCAGTGTTATATCAGTTGTGTTTTTACATGAACAGATAATCTTTTTTTGAAGTCATTAGTTCATACATGTTGATAATAGCAAAGCAATATGGTGTTGTAATCTAAGTATTTCTCAGCAGTAAACCCAGCAGATATTCCCTAGAATATAACACAGCAAGGTCTATGAGCAATATATTATTTGATGTTCCATAGCAAGGTCTATGAGCATAATAGTATCTGATGTTCCGTAGCAAGGTCTATGAGCATTATGGTATCTGATGTTCCATAGCAAGGTCTATGAGCATTATATTATATGATGTTCCGCAGCAAGGTCTGTGAGCAATATATTGTCACATGTTCTATAGCAAGGTTTATGAGCATTATATTATCTGATGTTCCATAGCAAGGTCTATGAGCATTGTATTATCTGATGCTTTATAGCAAGGTCTTTGAGCATTATATTATCTGATGCTCTATAGCAAGTCTTTGAGCATTATATTATCACATGTTCCATAGCAAGGTCTATGAGCATTATATTATCTGATGCTCTATAGCAAGGTCTTTGAGCATTATATTATCTGATGTTCCATAGCAAGGTCTATGCGCATTATATTATCTGATGTTCCATACCAAGGTCTATGAGCATTGTATTATCTGATGCTCTATAGCAAGGTCTTTGAGCATTATATTATCTGATGTTCCATAGCAAGGTCTATGCGCATTATATTATCTGATGTTCCATAGCAAGGTCTATGAGCATTATATTATCTGATGTTCCATAGCAAGGTCTTTGCGCATTATATTATCTTATGTTCCATATCAAGGTCTATGAGCATTATATTATATGATGTTCCGTAGAAAGGTCTATGCGCATTATATTATCTGATGTTCCATACCAAGGTCTATGAGCATTATATTATCTGATGCTCTATAGCAAGTCTTTGAGCATTATATTATCACATGTTCCATAGCAAGGTCTATGAGCATTATATTATATGATGTTCCGTAGCAAGGTCTATGCGCATTATATTATCTGATGTTCCATAGCAAGGTCTATGAGCATTATATTATATGATGTTCCGTAGCAGGGTCTATGCGCATTATATTATCTGATGTTCCATAGCAAGGTATATGCGCATTATATTATCTGATGTTCCATATCAAGGTGTATGAGCATTATAGTATCTGATGTTCCATAGCAAGGTATATGCGCATTATATTATCTGATGTTCCATAGCAAGGTCTATGCTCATTATATTATCTGATGTTCCATAGCAAGGTACATGCGCATTATATTATCTGATTTTCCATATCAATTTGTATGAGCATTATAGTATCTAATGTTCCATAGCAAGGTATATGCCCATTATATTATCTGATGTTCCGTAGCAAGGTCTATGAGCATTTTATTATCTGATGTTCCATAGCGAGGTATATGCGCATTATATTAGCTGATGTTCCATATCAAGGTGTATGAGCATTATAGTATCTGATGTTCCATAGCAAGGGCTATGAGCATTATATTATATGATATTCCATAGCAAGGTCTATGAGCATTATATTATATGATGTTCCGTAGCAATTTAAGGAATATTAGCATTCGAATGACCCCATCACATGTAACATAGCACGGTCTACATGTATCAATATACTTTAGTATTTTGCCTATTACCGCTCAAGTAACAAAGTATAGTATAAAAGCACATTTTATTTATTAACAACATTGTCCATCCCATAGAGACTCAATATACCTCCAAAAACTATTCTTTCCGATATGTTGAAAGTGTCTTCGGCAGTATGTTTCAGATCGGCATCAGTTCCGCGCTATCACAAGGAGACAAACACGAACATATCGCAGCCTCCCAAAACACAAACGCCTACACTACATGCATGCATCTTGCGCACTTGGGAGACCGTCCTTAAATTACCATAGCTGTTGCAATACTAAACCAAACCAAACCAAACCGTTGTTTCATTGTAACTTTGATATCATTGGTATGCTTTCGACGGTATTTGAAAACACAGTGGTGCAGTTCATTTTATTTCATATCATAGTTTAGCTATTTTTAGGTAACTACAGTTTCACGAGCATCCATTCAGTACAGAGTAAATTTGTGCATGATCTATCGGTACGGCTTAAAACCACAGACTACAGTATGTAAATTGTAATGAAACCCAATTTAAGATTGCAAATAAGAACTGTTAAAGAACACTGTCATGTCAGAGATATCGGTCCTGTATAATAAGAGCCAAAGGCGCCCGAGCGAAGCTCTTTAATGGTTACACATGCGTGCGTAAACAGAGTTGCTTCCCCTTACTACACGTTGCCTTTATTTTTTTTCATCTGGAAGTAGACGTCCAGTGGGGAAACAGGAAGTGTATCCTTGAAGCAAAGACAATTGTGTTTCAACCCATACATAAAATCACAACGACATAGTTTCATGGTCCTTATGTGAAACTTTGAACAAATTCTGCCGGTTAACTGCGAAGTGTGGAGCCTCTTTAAGTATGGATGTCGGAATACTCAGTTTTTTCTACTCGGTGTCAAGACATTTTAAGCTTATATTGCACCACATTTGCGTGCAATGGATTTATAATTCAAATATGCGGATGTACACAATGTTCGCCAATTATTTTCAGATTATATAAACATTAAATAAATGGTATTTTATCTAGGTATTTGAATTATAAATCTATTGCACGCAAATGTGGTGCAAAATAAGCACTTGACTTGGGCGTGAATTTCCTTATCCCCTACAAAATGAATTACACTTTTCCTCTCACTTCTTACCCGAAATGTGGCTGAACAAAGATAATGACACCGCTATTACTACAACTAATATACACGTAGTATCTTCGCCAGGCAACGTACACAGATACCTAGAAAACCATTCTGAAAATTAAGGAAAGGGTTGGGTACATTCTACACCAGAGTCTGATATTGAAGTATTTTTCAAAAGCTTCATAGCAATTTTGTTTATTTTATTGGGGTTTTTATTCAACGAGACAGCATGTCACGATTGTGATTTAGCCATAGACATTATTTAGTGCTGACTAAAGTATCAATGTTATGGCGTCACTTATCTCGTTAAGGTAACGTAATGTTTAAGAATGTCCGACGATATGGCAGTGAATATTTTGACCTCAAAAAATTTACAGACCTTTTTATGCAGTCCCTAGTCAGGATTCATCAATAAAAAAGATGTTTAAACATCGGGTCACCGGGAAGACCTTTGTAGGGAAGCGTTATCCTGCATGCTGGTTTTGACAAGTGGATCTTACATGTACAGAGATGGGGAATACTCACATATGTATACTACATATTTATTTTACAACAACTTATATTAATAGCTCTTGTTGGCCCAGATCTTAGTGCGCAGAGGTCTTAATGATTCAGGAACCCAGAGTACTAGGAGAAAACCCACGTGGTCGGGCAGGTGACCTTATACCTTTTTACGTCTGATCGGGGAATCGAGACCCGGCCGCCTTTGTGAAAGGTGTGTGCGTTAACCACTGCGCCACCACACCCCCTAAAACACAAAACAAAAGGTCCAATGGGCAGGCATTAACCTCACACTTGACATTTTAATATGGACTAAAATAAACCTACTGACAAAATATCAATATCTCTGACCTAAAGTCATTCAAAAGAATCTGTTAAAAGATTTTAACACATTTTACCGCTGCAACCGTGAAAGTGTTACACGGTCATTTAGCTGAACAAAATTAAAAGCCTTTCATTCCAGCCTGGAACTTGCCAAATATCACCACCCTAGAACTCTTTGTTTACTGGGAAGAGTTTTTTTTTTAAAGGGTATCCACAATTTACCAGATGTGAGTATGAATGTGTGTCAATGTCATTCACATGAACAAACCTGATAGCCATTCATCTGAGCCTGCTACTGGTCACATATTTGACACCTATGACCTTGAATATGAGTTCCATATTCAAGGTCACGAACTTAGTAACTCTTCATCCCATCATGCTACTGGATAAATATCATAATCATAGCCATTATTTTAAGAGAAGTCGTTTAAAGCTTTTTAATATGTTTGACCCCTGTGACCTTGAATATTTGTCAAGGTCATCCATATGAACAATCTTGGTAACGCTTTATGCCAGCATGTTACATAATCATTTCACCAGCATGCTTCTGGCCAAATAGCATCATCCTGTACCTTTTGGTTACTCGAAAAAAAGTTGTTTACAAATTTAAACACATTTGACCCCGGTGAACTTGAGCATTCATTTGAACAAATTTGGTAGCCTTTCATGAAGGCATGATACTGGAAACTGGAAATCATCACCCTAGCCCCCTTGGTAATTTAAAAGAAGTTGTTTTAAGTAAAAAGTTGACGCCGGCAAGCCGGACGGACGGACGACAGACGCCGCGCCACGACATTAGCTCACAAGGCCCTTCAGGCCAGGTGAGCTAAAATACAGATGATAAAAACTCGCCATATGTTTATATCTGTTTTTCATGTCCTCAACGTGTGGTTCAACTGTTTGCAAGTGTTCAAGTGATCAGCTGATATGTAATACTACACAATGCGTTTACGAAATGTGTCAATGTAGTGGTATGGTACGAATGATATTATGCATATACGTAAGTTGTCCGTGAGTGTGCACCAACTAATCCAGAACGATAGTAATGATCAGTAAAATGTTGTACACCTAGTTACCCGTAACTGTTTAAGTGCATATTATATGAGTATTTGTTCATGTGTCAAGCTTTATTGATTTAACATATAAACGCGTCTATGTATTATTCGAATAATATATCGACGATACATACTTGACGTAGAGTTACAATACTACGTACTATATAATGACCCGTTAACTATATATTTTGTTTGATTTAAGTAAATCTGTTTAACGTGACTGTACCAATTACAATGAAGATATAACTGTTGGAAACTTACCTTCTGATGATTTCAATAAAACGAAGGACACAAATAAGACACACCAAACAATCGCCATGTTTATAGGATGTTTAACTAAATATATTTTATGAACTTCCGGGTTGAAACGGGGAATATAAACTGTGTGTGTCACGGTGTGTAACATGCTATCGTCGAAATTCACAATTACATTCGATAGGGATTCAATATGGGTTACAGCTTGGATTGTGAATATAACAAAATAACTGCACGTACATTTGGTATTTGTTCGTCAACTAGGGAAAAACCAATATAACTACCATCAAGCTGAAAACCTTACATTTCGCTGTATTTGTTACATTTAGATCGACTTTAAAGCCTAATCTCAAAGCTATGAACAAATCTTGTGCGGCACAATAGATTATACTCGTGAAGCTGTTTGTATACATGGATATTGTTAAATTCGCGTTCCGCTGTGACGTATTCGCGGGGTCACCTATACGAGCTTCACGGTCATAGGTAACAGATTATAAACGATATTAGACTGCAGTTATATCGTAAGTTTTGGTCGGCTGCTCATAACACGTGTGTTATAGATTGTAACACAACGCACGGTTTTAAGGTATGAGCTATGTTTTAGGTGTCTTAAGTTGATTTACATAAAGCAACGAAATGTTTATGTCGGAGCAATATAATGATACTCTATATCAATTATCAAAGAAAACATTATAGGGAACAAATAAATCACCGCAACAACAATGCCTGTGAGTCATGTCAACATGTGAAGTTTTGTCAGTTGTGTAGTTGTAACAAGGACGATTTCGCTGCTTCATGACATTTATTTCACATCTTCAATTCACAATTCATGTTGTCCTTGATATATGTATATGTGTATAATGTTCAAGACCCTACCACGAAACAATACAAACTATTTAAAATCTAGTTAAAAAAGTGTTACAGCATATATGGACAATACATATGTTTTAAAATTAATCTAGATTACACGAAAATTGGAAACATAAGTTATCATTTGCTTAATTATAAAATATACATTTCACTATACAGATACTAAAATATAGAACATTTATTCAATACCTAATAAATGATATAGAATTATACACGAAACACGTCAAGTACTGATGTACCTACCCCAACAATTGGTCAAGGGTCTAAAGATTAAACACGAGATAGTCGTCAAAACGACATACTATGGATTAGCGTGGTAGCAACTGAAATACAATACATATTTTTGGGGGGTAATTTTCTTTTTATTCAAGATTTTTTCGCAATATGTGGTCTAATTACAATCAAAAAATTTATATTATATATTCATACATTACACGACTGATATATACTCTTACTTGCCTTTATGAGAACAGAGAGAAGGAGAAAAGAAGAAGAAAAATAGCAAAGAAAAAAGGAGAAAGTCCATAAAAAAAGGGAAGAAAAGGAGAATCTGGTTTTTGCACTGCGGCTCAAGAATAAACATTAGTTTGTGTTTAGACTAAGATTATAAGACAAGCTTCTGTATTAGTTGTAAGTAAGTTGGTCTCGGCTTTAAACTGCAAGTAAATACAATAAATATTTATATACTTAAGATACTGAAATTAACTTCAAATAATGTATTCATCAAAATCATAGATGACGGATATTCACAAAAATTATAATTCAGGAAAAAAGAGATATTTTATCCAAATCGATATTATTCTAACTTACATTTATAGATATTAGAATAAAAATAATACTTTTTATAGTTTAATCATTTAAATATATTTAAATATATTCCAGAACGTACCAAACCTACCACCAAGCAAAACATTACTGAAATCAAGGATCAAACACAATCTAAATGATCAGATGTATTAAAATCTGGTGTAGCACTATCAAATTTCGTCAACAGGGTCAAAAGAAAGTGTATAAACCACGCCTCTTTTAGTAAAAATAATGAATCGGAAACAATTTTGTCTTCGCATTGTGAATGTACAACAACATGGATCTTTATCTGTGATTAAAAACAAATACGGTTTAAATAGTTAACAATAGACTAATCGTTCTACATCCTTATTTTATGACTGAAATGTCAAAACGTCATACCTACTTCAGAATTATTTGTTTTATTTTGTTGGACTAAAATTTTATTCGAATCGCCATGATTGTATACATTGTGATTTCTATTTTACACTTTAGAGTGAATGCTCGTTAAAGAAAATCTTGAAATTAATCGTCACTAGCGTGCAATTGTGTTAACTACACATGCAGACCCCGTATTCTCCCCCATTAGACAGAGATGTGCACACTTCCGGTAAAGAAACGATTTGTCTGGCTTACGGGTAAAGTAAGAAAATAATCGTAAGCCTGAAAAAAATAATCCCAACCCTCTGGATAAAATTCCTGGAAGTCTGGCCCTCGGTAAAGCTCGGGCTATACATTTAAGAATCTTGCCCTCGAGATTTTTCGTTCCTTCCCCCAAGGTTGGGAAACATAATTTCAGTCTTAAAACAATGTTTAAATGGCTAAAATTACTTTTGACAAGTTCTGAAGATGAACGTAAGATAGATAAGTGATTGCATATAATTCTACCATTTTAATGTTAACAGAAGCACGATTATGCACCAATGTCCTGATAGATATCAAAGTTACTCGTAGTCAAACTCAAGATTGACAGCCATGTCACCCATCTTTTCTTTATAGACATCATCAAACTTTTCGTTCTGTGCCACGGTGAACTCGTTCTTCCAGTCTCCTACGATTCCTGTAAAGCATTTTAAAAACTGATTGTGTACACAAACACATTTAAGCGGTAACCTTATTTTAGCGTTCTGTAGGCTTTTGTTATTTCGCTAAATTATAATAGCGGTATTATAGGTTTTTTATGTTGTTCTCTTTTGCTACTGTGGTTGTGCCAATTTATCAATGCGCAAAACTCAAACTTCGATAATGCTCCAAAATTTGCTTTCGCTAAAACAAGTAAGTTACTCCTCGTTACCAATATACCATATAAAGACTCAATTTCAAATTTGATGTTTAAATTTTGTGTTTTTACTTTTTTGTGTGATGGTCATCTATGTAAATTACAATAAAAATATACCGTAGCGTCGACATTTAAAGGTAGCATCAGATCTACAGAAATATATGTAATCATAATAACATGTTTTATACTTTTTGTAAAAGTAGTTGAAACTAATTCTGATATTTTTGTCTTATATATATATTTCTGTGACTTAAAAATTGACATCTTTCCAACAGCTACATGTTTGGTAAACTTTTGTGAAATCATTATAACATTGTGTAAACTATTATGAATGAAAAGGCAAACTCGAATATAATTCAACATTGGGGAAATATTTTAAGATAACGTTAAGATACGTTGGTACTTTATATGAAATAATAAAATAATCAACACATACACACATGTTGACAAGACGTTTTGAGCGCGTGTCGTTGTAAATACATTATAAATACCGTCATGACGTCATAAACCGTTTCAGCTAGTACTTATTAAACAACATGACATGAGCATTAATCTATTATCTGTTTATATATTTGAAGAAGACATCAATATTTGCTTGTTATTACTTATTCTTAAATAAAATATGAGGCAGGATTTTATTTGATTGCATATTATAAATGATATTATATCACGTTACCTTTTTACTAAAACAATGAGTGGCATTAACATGGAATGTGAATGTTACCAAAATTACAAAATATATAAAGGGTCGTGTAACGGTTTTGTAACCCTACTGGCATTCATATTTACAAAAAAGTCCAAATTAAAACTTGTTATGCATACATGTATAAACTCGAGTAAAATGCTTTCTATGAAGTAGTTGAATGAAATGAAGTTCTTTTTGTTAGGCACTGGCATGTTTAATTGATAGAACAGTGCGATTTAAGTGCACGAAATAACGACGGGAAGGTAAAAATGTATTCAAAGTAAATTTTACGAAAAAAAAAAATCTGTTTGTCTCATATCAGTTTGCGATCGTCGACAAATTTAGACTATATCCGACTTTTAGAGATGCAAAATAAATTTGCCAGAATAACCGTCATGCAGTATCTGGAAATGGCAAATGGGGTTTGTGTGTTTTTCAGCCGTATCTAAAATCTTGTTTGTTTGTATCGATTTATTTCACACAAACGAGACAAATATTATATTGATTGATCAAACATATGAATTGAATAACTAAATAATTTACCTTTCCTATATATCGGCAACCTTCCGTTATCTCCTAAGTGTTTCCATATTTCAGATTCACCTGCACCTGTCGCGTGTTCCTTCTTTAGGTTTTCAAATGCCACAGTTTGTTCAACTTTCCTCAAAAAGGTTTCCTCGTGATCAACCTCCAAAAATGTTGCTATCCGTAAGATGTTCTGATACAGGTTCTAAATAAAAAGAAATAACACAAAACACTAACCACAGAGTCAACATATCAGAACAATATCGGAATTTTTAATAGCAATAACAGTGAAACTGCCAATAGAAAAAGAACCACATAAAATAGTAAAAAAAAACTTTATTCATAGTAGTTACTGACATGGTTGTTTTCTTTTCACTAAGAGGACGTACGATAACCTTAAGGACCCCGTACCACTGCCAAAAACTATATCTAAGTCATAGTAAAGAAGAAATAAACATATGATCAACAACTGTGTTCTGAGTGTAAAACTCGAGCGGAGCTACACCGAGATTCGAACCCTGCACTTCAGATTATTATATCATTGCTCTAACCGATTGTGCTACCTGGTAAACTGCAGTGTCCGAAACCAACGGTGCTACAGTTATATGTAAACGTACGTTAAGGAGAGGTTACAATATAAAGGAAATAAACACATAGTGACAGAGGGATCCTTAAACTTGATTCTGGTTCTCATGAATGCGTCGACAAATACCTTTAAGAATAATATGTAAAACATGGCTAGTTAAATGTCTTGTATACATCTGTTTAATCGTGTTTGCCCGGTGTTGACATCGCTCTTCAAAATGTAAACTTAGAATATAGGGAACATTTCCAAGTGTACAATTTTTCAGCCTTTTTTATTTAAACATATCGGTCTAAACGATTTAGTTCCATTTGACTAACACGCGTTACATTAAGCAACAAATAATTAGTTGATATCCCATGCGTGCGTTATTTTTAGAAATGGATGAAATCTAAATCTTAAACCAAAAGACACACTTATGGGCATAATAAAAATGTCGTCCTTGATATCACACAAAGAAATAACATATTTCTCTGTGTGATCATGATGACGACCCTCAAATTTATTTATTTTCTTCATTTTGAATTAACATTTGAAACACGCATACTAATATGTATACGGTGATAAAGTCAATTAAATATCAGTACAATTTAAAGATCAGAAGTTCTTTTTTTTTTGCTGAAGGACTCAAATACTAAAATTAGCTATTTACAAACTTTGTGGTACCTTTTTCAGATCTTCAAATCTGAGAAATAATATCTTCAGATCCGGATTCGTCAAGATGGCATTGTTCCATTCGGTTGTATGGGTAAACCACGATCCTCCTGATCCTGAAACTTCGTGAAGAATGATATTTTACATTATTAGCATTATTTGAAGGATGAAAAGCACTTTATCAATTTGACTTCATGCTTGTATAAAAAATAATTGATTTATCTCATTTCCTATTTTATTGACAGGAATAAAATTGTATGACAACAAGAGCTTAAAATAGAAAATTAAGCAGATATGAAACAATTTGTTGAATCAGAATTTCTTATAAACAATCGAAATAGATGATACCTGTAATTAATTCATATATAAGTATAACTTATAGTATAAGTATAAAGATAATGACGGAAAGTCCCAAATTAAAAGTTAAGAATTACATTCTTCCGAAAGGTATGCCTTCAGGTAGCCGTCAAAGTTGCCAGTATAACTAGCATTTCGAAGTTTACACTGGAATGCGTAGTATGAACAGGCATTATCTTTTGGATTCCGAAGCACGTAGATTATTTTCAGATGACCTTCCATTGCCGCCTTAGAGATAAATGGGTAGGTCAAGTGGGTATGGAACATCCTTGAAGATTTCATCTGGTCAATCACTCCAATGTCCTGAAACTCCATCATCTCTGGAGATCCTGAGTATTGAAGATTCTTTGTTTGTATCATCCTTGCCATATTAAACACCCAGTATGTACCTTAAACACATCATCAAGATACACAACACCAATATGACAATTCGTGACAACTTCCTCTCTATATAGTCGAAAAAAATTGATTTGATTCGATATCCATACACACACACCCATACCAACACCGCCAAAACCACACACACAGCCATACCCACACCGCCAAAACCACAAACACACTCCATACCCACACCGCCAAAACCACACACACACACCCATACCCACACCGCCAAAACCACACACACCCATACCCACACCGCCAAAACCACACACAAATAACATTGTGTTGTCCGTAAAACAGCTATGCTGCGAAACTGAAGAAGTTGACCAGACTTCCTATATAACGTATAGACTTACAGCATCGCCTGTAACAGTCAGATCTGTAATATTAAAAACAGCAGAATAATCCATGCAACTGTTATGTACACAAATGCCATATGATATGTGAAGATAAGATTTTTTGCACATTTTCTTTTTAACAACTAGCATAATATTACTTTCTATTACATTCACGAATAATACATGGCTTTCGATCACTTTTGTTTTGTATTGAAACAAGTATATTATGCTGCAAATATACCGCAGTATATAGCATGTATTTAAATTGAAGAGTTTAAAACATCATGATTAAGGGTAGTTTTTGTCTAGCATTTATCAGACAAACAAATCTTGATAAAGGAGATAGTGTAGTGGAGATAGTGTAAAGGAGATAGTGTAAAGGAGATAGTGTAAAGGAGATAGTGTAGTGGAGATAGAGGCTATTTTATAGTTCCCTGTTGATAACCATTATATATCACGAGTTTGTACGAATACCGACATTTTTCTTGAATGCGTAGCATGGGTAAAAATATATAGAGATTCCGTCATACGAGTAAATAGTTAAAGTATTTGACGGAAAAACTACTAAGTTTTCAATTTATTACATTTTAAAAGTGTATTATGGTATTAAGTGTGGTATTTAGTAATGATATATTGGGCTCCATGTTTTAATGAAGTCAGGCTTTAACACAAGGTGGTCAGCCATTTTTAAAGAGAAAATTTACCGTTTTCTGCCATTATCTGGTAATGCTTAGCTCACACAACATTTATCAATTATGTAATTTTATCAATAACTTTGTGCTTGTACCTCAGATTTTACTGCATCTGAACAGAACATCTGCAGCTTTTAATGCAATAAAAAACCAGATTTGAACATGCAACATTTCAAGTAAACATATATTTATCATATTGATAATTTTTGATAATTCTCTGTTACTATTAAACTATATTAATGGTACCTATGTGCTCAGGATTCCTACCAATTAACGATTAATTGCAAGATTCTTTTATATTTAATCCTTTCATCCCTATGTAACTTTAGTAGACTCTCATGCATTGATTGGATGAGTCCATTATGGTCTACAGTGGTGAAATGGTTGGCAAATGTATTACCGGTATTTGACTTTTATATGTAAATTAATCTGGATACAAAAGTACCCAATAGGAACACTAAAGACATCGAAACAAAGGACATACATCGGTAAACTCACCATACAACTAGTGAAACTAACACGAACACCGGGGTGAAACCCACTTAACACCGGGGTGAAACCAACTTACCACCGGGGTGAAACCCACTTAACACCGGGGTGAAACCAACTTAACACGTGCTGAAACCCACTTAACACCGGGGTGAAACCCACTTAACACGTGCTGAAACCCACTTAACACCGGGGTGAAACCAACTTACCACCGGGGTGAAACCCACTTAACACCGGGGTGAAACCAACTTACCACCGGGGTGAAACCCACTTAACACCGGGGTGAAACCCACTTAACACCGGGGGTAAACCAACTTACCACCGGGGTGAAACCAACTTAACACCGGGGTGAAACCAACTTACCACAGGCGTGAAACACAGTTAACACCGGGATGAAACCAACTTACCATCGTTGTGAAACCCACTAAACACAGGCGTGAAACCCAATTAACACAACCGTGAAACCCACTTAATACAGACGTGAAACCTACTAAACGCCGAAAAAAACCTCTTCGAAGACCGGGGCGAAACCTACTCAAGATCGAGATGAAACCAACTTAATGACAGAGTGAAAATCACTGACCGTAAAATATCTATGTGAAATCTATTTACTCATTAAACTCCAGGGTGAAACACATTAAACATATGTTTTGCTGCTATTATCTATAATTTTATTTTTTTAACTACATTGATTCTTTTTTTTAAATTTCCCCATAAGTCTGTCAGCAAGGGTATTCCGTCTTTTTTTTTGTTTTGCAGAGTTATCTGCTCTTGTGGGCAGGTATTAATTGTTACGTCATTTGTTTGTGAGACTAACGTCATCAATTTTTGTTAAAACGACGTAATTTTCTCACACAAACCAATGACGTAACAATCAATACCTGCTCACAAGAGAAGATACCTTTGCAATACGCAAAGACGGAATTGATAGGGGAATCAGCTGTATTTGCATTTTTAAAATATACAAATTTATGAATTAAAATGTATTATAAATATATTTCCTTGGCCATTTCTAAGGAATTATACTATGGCGAAGGTGCACACCAATGAAGAAATGTGGTTTTTAATGACTTTATTAAATCTTCCTCTTCTTGAAAAACAGCGGGTGAATTCCTGAACTCTGCGATTCGCATATTAAAGCAGTTGTAAACAATGTAAACACGAATGAGAAAAGTGATGATCGTAACGTGGTAAACTATTTGCGATGCCTAATTGGGTGTAAGCTGTCGCCTGTGTCTATCTGAAGTCTTCCGCTCGTCGGTGCAAGTAAGACAAGAAAGGCAATGGGTTCTGTCCCCAAGCCGGGACATACCAAAGTCCATATAAACGGTATTTCTTATTGCCTGCTTAACGTTTAGCAGTCGGAATGCTATGCTTGGGTCCTTCAGCGTGGTATTTCAGTGAGATAGATATCTTAATTTGACATCTTATCCGCGCTATCGCAAGGAGACAAATACCCCGCCCCCAGCACACATGCACGCATATATTACAAACATGGAGGCAGTGGGGCTAAATGAAATGCATGAGATAAATGTTTGACTAGTTGAATTTGCATATTGACTGTTATAACCTATGATTGATTAATGCATACTGTTCTATTATGAAGCAGCGTATTTTACCTGGTTCCGGCATACAGGGCTCCGTTGACTGCTCCAATTGTTGAAAACAACACAGCAATGGGCATCATTATCCAGGCAGATCCGTGTTGATGATTGCGTTCCGTTAGTTTATCATTCCTAATATTACATGTACCGACTGTTTGTGGAACCTCGTTTTGAGATAGTACAGCTAAGATGGCAGTCCACTGTGTAGACCATGCTTGTTATTGTCTGTGAGAACCCGTACTTATCTGCGAGAACCCAGACATATCAACCGTCCGTGAACTGTCTCTCCCCATGTCTAAAAGAATGTTCACTGAATATAATTTCATAATGAACACGCTTTAGCGGTTCTAACATCGTACAGTACAAGTACATATCAGGAAAACACTTTGTATAACACCTCCAACATTTGATATAGGACTGTATAAGATGCTTAAATCCTTCAAACGAGGAAAGGTTAATAATTATTACAAATAGTTGTTCATTAATCGCTAGTCCTCTTATTGGACGTATACAATGAACAAAAACATTTCCATTATGTTATCAAATCCATTGTCGGAGGTTTTAGTTCATTCCTACATTTTCTGAACACGACAAATTAGACATTTGACAAAATCCTTAAAACAAGTTGCGTTATATCCAGTTTAATTTTTTTTCTCTACAAATACAACAGGCCCCACTTGTATAAAACATCTCAACTCTTGAGATTTCCTCAAGTCTCAGATTTCCCATCGACAATTAATTTATGAGAGTTTCCTCACCTTTGAGATAAATATATTGTTACTTAATATGCCTTTCGTATGCCCCAACATAAAATGGGGGGGATATAGTGTTGCCCACATCTGTTCCGTCCCGTCCCGTCCCGTCCCGTCCCGTCGCGATTCATTGTAATTACTCTAGCAGCTTCATTCTTTGACGGATTATCAACAAACTTTATACAAATGTTAAAAGTACGTCAGATTAGTTTGTGTTTTACATTACAAGGTCAAGGCCAAGATCACCATTACTATTGGTAGAAAATCATCAACTTTGTCATCGTCATCAGTTAACCAACTTTATTTCCTTTTGGATTTTGATCAAAATTTACACAAAGGTCAAGTTTGGGAATACCTTTAGAGTTTTGTGTTTTAAGGTGCAAAGGTCAGGGCCAAGGTCGCTGTTGCTATATATAGAATGTCGTAACTATTTATCGAACAACATTAAACACTGGAACTAATTTCACTACTCGCGGGGGCATTGACGTCTTACAGACATTTTCTAGTTATCTGCCATATTCATAACTGTCACTGTAGGAATACAACTATTCATGTGTTGTAAGGCGCTTTAGAGAAATTTTGCAAATTATGTAGGACGTAATATAAATGTTGTATATTATCATCAATAGTATTAGTATTATTATTAAAAATGGAACGACGTACGGCTGCTACAGCACTTGATTCAAGGAGGCCATCCGGTCCAAGTACTGCTAGGTAGGAGAGGTTGACCAATAGGTAAACTACAGTCACAGTTGTCACGCCCAAAACGTTCGCTCGGGGAAGGTTTCGGACAAAAACCGATAAGTTCATTATATTTCGCTTAATACCTATTAGGATGTTATTCAAATACTTTTAATGCTTTTACTTACACATTCGGATTTTTAATTTCTTTCATGACACAGTTAAGTATATTCCAGGTTGGGGGGGGGGGGGTAACAAAATGCAATTTAAGAGTGAATGAGACTTAGAACAAGCAAAATAACCCGTTACAAGAAAAGACATTTTCCGTAGTGTTTATTAAACGATTAGTCATTATGTAAACAAAATATGATTTAACTATTTCAGGAAAATATGAAAAGGAATAGATGATGTCATATTTAAGTACCAAAAACA